GATGGTATGGATTGGATTGATCTGGCTGAGGACAGGGACCAGTGGAGGTCTCTTGTGAGCACAGTAATGAACCACTGGGTTCCATAAAATGTTGGGAAGCTCCTGAGTAGCCGCACACTTAGCGGTTTCTAAAGAAGGGCACAGCTCCATGAATGATGATGTTCAGGATACTGTAAACATAACTTTTGTATGAACTGGAAAACCAAAAAATTCACATGACTTGATTTATTGCATTGATCTGGAACCAAATTTGCACTGTCTCAAGAGGTATTCGTGTACCATGTGCTCTGTGTATCCACGGTATTGGTGCAAGTTCCTAGTGACCAGATCCAATGTGATGTCCAACATCACACCACTGCAAAGGTCCAGGCTGAAATTTTCCTGGCATGGAGGGAGGGTTAAGGAGGTGATATCACTCAGATTATAATAGGATAAACCACTGGGAACTGCTCATCAATGTCCCCAAATCTGGCATCTACAGAGGAACCACCTATAACAAAACAATGGCATGTAAACTTCACATTCTGAAACCATCCACATTAACAATCTTCTGTGGCATCAACCTATAACTACTCCATCTGGCATTCTAGACAGATAAACACACTGTTCATTTTTTAACTGTTAACAGTATGTGGGAACATAGTTGTCTTATTTTGCTTTATGTCCTTCAGACTTCTACTTTATTTCATCATTATACATCCTGGAAACATGCACTGAGATACATATGTCCTCAAACTTCAGGACCTCTAGCATAATCTTTTTTCCCCTTGGCACTACAGCCCATGTGGGCCTAGGCCTACCTCCATGAACTTCTCTGTTCACTTCAGTTTTTCTAGAACTTACACATTCGGTAGGACTCCTTGGGCCGGTGATCAGATCGTTGCAAGGCCTCTACCTGTAGACAAACACAGAAAAACGCACACACACAAACTAAACATCCATGCCCTGAGTGGGATTCCAACCCACAATCCCTGTTTCCAAGCGAGCGAAGACAGTACATGCCTTAGAACGCTCGGCTACCATGACCAGCTCTAGCACAACTGGAGATGTAAATAAAATGACAATGCTAATCACCCCAGTCCCCAATAAATACAGTGCAGGCCTCAATAAAATAACACACCTTTATTTGGTTATATCTAATGTTGCTCATGTTACAAATAAATGACAATATGTGATCAACAGTCATCTGCAACTAATTAAGACAGTCTTCATTGTGTGAAAATACAGTAAAACCTTGTTATAACGTGCCTCACTATATCATGGGCCCAGTCATGTCTCCCAAAATAATTCCATTTATTTTATTTGTAAACAAATTTGGTTCCAATTTTACTATCTTTTTTCTTTGTAAACAGCTTTACACAGTTGAATACATACTTTAAAAGACACAGTGCCCTTAGGAAGGTAGATAAGTCACCTGTCCGTTCTGAAAAAACTTGACTTCAAACGTGCATTATTACAATCAAAAACATTGTAACATGTCTGGAATCCAGAGGAGACGCTTCTATGGAAACACTAGAATAGACCGTTGCATAGGAAACAACAATTGCTCCATTGTAGTTCTAACAGGAGCCTCCATGGTTATAACAGAGGGTTCGTTAACTAGCAGCGGCCAAGGTTATAAAAGCCCAGCTTCGACGAGAAGTCTTCAGTCTTCATCGGGCCAGCTAAGAGGCCAGTCTTCATCGAGCCTCCAAAGAAGAAAGTCTCGGAATAGCCTCCAAAGAAGAAAGCCCTGGAATATCCGCTGCAGAAAGGAGTCTGCTATGCAACGCCAGCGAAGCCAGTCCAGTGTCGCCGAGTTATAGTAAGCAGTGATTGCAACACTGCGGGTGTAAATGATTGTGTAAGCGTGAAGGACAATAAATGTTCTACGGAATTTGAGGCCTACGTGAACTTATTTGTAGCGTGACAGACACAAAACACGCTACAATATATACAACTTGAGTCTTCTATCAATGAACAATAGTGCCATTATTTATTTATTTTCATCAGCACTACTTATGCCATTAAATTTTCTATTTATTTGTGTTCCAAGATTTTTGTCTTTTAGGGCTATCTTTTGCTTCACTAATCCTGATTACTGATTAATCTGGATGACCTATCTGGCCCTCTACTGGTCCCTATCCTGAGCCAGGTCAATCCAGTCCACACCATCCCATCTTACACAAGTTTAATTTTAATATATTCCTCCTAACTAGATCTAGATCTTCCTATAGGTATCTTTCCTTCTGGCTTTCCTACCAAAAGCCTGTATGTATTACTCTTCTCCCTCATGCATGGCTACACGTCCTGCCCATTCATCGTTCTTGACTTGATCATTTTAATTTTACTTGGTGAAGAATATAAGTTATGAAGCTCCTCATTATGCAGTTTTCTCCAATGTCTGCTTTGATTAACATAGAAAACGTTTTCCAGTCATACTGAAAGTTAGACTGCTCTCACACTCAATGGCTAGCCAACATCCATTATTGAAGAAATATTTATTCATACCCCAAGCTGCTTGATCATCAAATCTCCTGCAGTGTATCACTATGTTCATAAATTCAGTAAAAGTTTCTATAGCTGAACTTTGGTCCTTCCATCATAGACCACCTTTCATGTTTCCAGAACTCTTAACCATTCAAATGTACTACAGACAATTTTTGTAGCCCCAAGAAACTTCCCTACCTTCACACGGATCAACATAAATGCTACTACCGTTGCGGTGTCTTGGTTTAATGATGCTCAAAACTGCTCATATTAGTAAGCATTTCATCTGTTGCTTTATTAAGAGTGCACTGAAAGACAAACATAAAATTTACTTACTCTGCATGAAGAATGACCTCCTCTATAATAAGGACAGAGTGTCGGCAGCTTCACAAATTCCATTTGACTGTAGTCTTGCAGTATATTTCATATGGGATGCTTAATGACTCCATGTCAGAGCTTAGGGTAAGGGTTCCAAAATATATTCTTTACTTCTTTCTGTTCATTAGACTTGATGATAAATCATTCTCATTAAATGTTTGATATATTCAGACCAAGGATAAATATGTACAAGTTGGTAATCTTCATTAACTCATCTGTGGTGAGAGAGCAACCATATCTCTGGAGTCCTAACCCAATAATATTTTTAAATACTTTATATATGAAAAATCTTACATTTGGCTTCAGTTAAATTTCTTTTATGTTACTACAGCTGTATATCAAAATTCATTTATTAATGTTGTGATCAGTTACATTTACAACTGTCTGAGATGCTGTAGTGACAAGTGTTCCTAGGTCTTGTAACCAACTGTAAGAAAAGCAAACAATCATATTAGCGAAGTAATATTACTGATGCAATCATGCTGATATCACAATCCATTACTTCTCATGATCACTAACAGTGAACCTGAAAATAATTATGTTAAATTCTGGAGCTCTACACTGAACATACAAGACACATTTAATTTAAAGGATGTATGTGGGCTGTCAGTCTCATTAGAAATGACAATCAAGTTATTTTTTTTAAACTCACACAATTGTGCCATTATGCTACAAGAAGGCAGGGTTAAATCTGATGGAAAGTCACATATGGGTCATTTGAAGGTCATAAGTTCAAGTTCCCACGAAGTTCATGAAACACTGGGTCGCTTAGGATGAGTTAACCTCACTCACTGGACTGGAGGTTAGCTGTATTAGCTGTATTGAATTTAAAATAAAAATGAAATGAAATGAAATAAGAGAACCTACAGAGTAGGTGTCTCCCCCTCACCTGAGGATGGAAGATGATAATTTTTTTACATTGTATGTATTATATTACATTGAATTGCATTCTATGGAAACAAAGTTAGTCAAAATGACTGTAGGATGTGGAATATATCATATAAATACAAGACATATGTACAGTCCCAACGAAGTTCTCACACAAGAGAAACCAAGAATACACAGTGACTACACACAAGGCTACTTAAAGATACACAAGTTATATTGTAGACAACAGGTATTCATCAACAGAGTAGAATGAATGTGTATTTAAGTATCATTTCAGTGCTATTTTAAATCGTGCCTTTTCATGCATAAGACCTTTGAGATGAGATGGCAGGTTATTAAAAATGCTGATCCCAGCATAATATGTGCTTTTCTGAAAGCATGAGAGGTTAGCATTTGGTTTATTAAGACAGTGTTTGTGTCTTGTGTTAACAGTGCACATCTGCATTCATCTGAAAATGTTCTTTGTTATCTGTAATGAAGTTCATTAATGAATATATATATATTTTCACAAGGAAAATTTAAGATCTGTAGTCTCTTAAATATATCTCTACAGGAATTACGGGATTTGACACCCAGATGATTACAGATGTGAGTTAATGTGCTACTGATTAGAGATGCACATACTTTTAGAATTTTACTTGTTATTCCATCATAACCTGAAGAGTTTTTTGTTCTGAGGGAATGTTTCTGAAAAGTCGTTTTTTCTAGTTTTTTAGAAGGGACAATGGCCGAAGTATAAAAAACCCAGTAACTTCGTATGTTCAACATCAGAACTGTATAGAATCTAAGTAAGTTCTACTTTTCGTAATGATTATCAGGCATATTCAGTAAATATGCAACAATTCCTAAACTTTTCAGATTTGAGCTCATAAAGCACGTTTACTTGAAGCTGGGATGCAGTTCCAAATCAAACACGATATAAAGCAAGCACAGATCTTTCCTTGAACACTACAAAACTTCTCTTAACAATGCAATCCAGTCCTATGGCTTGTTTTGAGGCCTGCACCATGTAATATCAAAGCTGAAATTACAAGTAACTGCAGATGAATTTAAGGTTATATAGTCTCCCTTATTTTATTGTCTGTATCTCTACAGTAATTTTGTCTTGCCCCTTTTTATTATTCAGGATTCTGCAATATGAAACGTCACGTCCTCATGTATATCAATTCTTGCCGTTCTTGCTATATGCTTGCCCTAATTTAATTCAACGCACAGCGACACTTCCGGCTCTTCTTTTGCGAAACCGTTGGCATCACTGTCTCTGCATTCCCATTTTCACGTAAAAGTTGATCAAATTAATAATTTTTATCTTCTTGTTAATATCTCATAGATTAGGCCATCTGGCTTTTTTGCAATAAGAACTGATTTTTAGAAATTGGATATTTCTTATGATAGGAGGGAAATTTGACGCTTGCTTCCGCATTAGCGGTCATTAGTAGAACTAACAGTTTTGCGACAATTGGATGCCGCAGTTTTTAAGTAGATTGTTGTAACGGGTAACTTAATAAACCGGCATATTTGTACGTATTAGACGCAATCCTTATGAAACTATTTATTGTTACTGATGATTTCATTGTTTGTGGTGACTTTAAACATAAATTATTTAGTTGACTATGACAGAAAAAGTCAATCGGAAGCCTTGCGCAAATCTTATAATTTAACGAGTGTAGTTAATATTCCAACTCGCATTCAACATAATTCCGCCACAGCTATTGACAATATTTTTATCGATGTTACCAAGGGTGGAAATTATAATAATAATAAATGGGCTTTCAGATCATGATGCCCAGATTATAACATTACGTTCTTCTAGTCTAAAACCACCCACTAAAAAATTTGTGCTGACTAGAAACATCAACCAATATACAATAAATGACTTTCTCCTTAAATTAAGCTATGGAACTTGGGACACTGTTTTCTCCACGGATAATGTCAATGAAATGTACAATTCCTTCCTAGGCTCCTATTTGAAAATTTTCTACCATAGCTTTCCTTTAAAAAGAGTAAGTATTGGGAAAAAGAATAGTAATAATTGGATTACTTTAGGAATTCTAACATCTTGTAAACATAAAAGAGAACTTTTCATAGCACGTAGGGACAGTAATAATCTAGATCTCTTAAACTACTATAAAAATATTGTAAAATTTTATCTGCAGTCATCAAGGAAGCAAAATACTCAATTATGCAAACAAAATTAGTAAATCCCTGAAAAAGAATAAAACCATCTGGGATATAGTTAAATTAGAAACTTGTAAAAGCAAGAAATACTGATAAGATTATTACTTTAACTACTGAATGGGACTCTAGTCAATAACCACCAAGTGATAGCTAACGAGGTTATTAAATATTTTTCATCTATAGCTAAAAATATTAATAAATATAATGAACTTAGCTTTCATAACCCAGACAATATTACTCCTCTTCATTACTTATCGCAGACTTTTAAGACTCCGTTTCCAAACATTAAACTAAAATTTGTATTGTCTAAAGAAGTTGAAAATATAATAAAATCTTTTAAGCACAAAAATTCCTCTGGGTATGATGGAATATCTACTAAGATACTAAAAATAAGCTCTTCTTTTATTAGCTCGCCTTTAACTTATATTTGTAATAAATTGATATCTTTAGGAATTTTTCCAGATCATCTGAAATATGCAGTAGTTAAACCTTTGTTTAAGAAAGGTGATAGATCTTGTATTTCCAACTATAGACCCATATCTATGTTAAGTTCCTTCTCTAAAGGATTTGAAAAAGTCATGTATTATCGACTTCAGGTGCACTTGTGTAATCACAGTATTTTAGCAGAAGAACAGTTTGGGTTTAGAGCAGATTCATCAACAAACAAAGCCATATATAAGTTAGTTAATTAAACCCTGCAAGCTTTAAATAGTAAATCTCCAGTAGGTGGTACTTTTTTGATCTTGAAAATGCATTTGATTGTTTAAACCATGATATATTGATCTCTAAATTACAATTTTATGGTGTTAATGGCAAAGCTAAATTACGGTTTGAATCATATCTTAATAACAGATATCAGAGAACTCAGGTTTCTAATGAGGAATCAAACCTAATAAATCTTTCTACATGGGAAAAGATAACTGATGGTGTTCCCCAGGGATCAGTTCTGGGCCCTTTGCTGTTCCTTATTTTTATTAATGATTTGCCCAAAATTGTAGACGGTAATGCTATAGCTATTTTGTTTGCTGATGATACAAGCATATTAGTCAAAGGTTCTAGCTTAGGGGACTTTCGAAATAAGATGTCTAACACCTTCACTTGCATAAATAAATGGTTCAAAACAAATTTACTTTCAATAAATGTTAATAAAACTCACTGTATTCATTTTATAACTAAAAATAAATCTACAATTGATGTAAATATCATTTATAACAATCAACCAATAACAACTGTGTCTAATACTAAGACCCTTGGCATAAATATAAAAGATTCATTGAACTGGAGAGGTCATATTGAATGTATTATCCCAAAACTGAGTTTGGTATGTTATATTATGAGGATATTAAGTCATATATGTCTTTGAATGTTCTGAAAATTACTGATTATTCATTTTTTAATTCGATCATGAGCTATGGCTTAATTTTCTGGGGAAATTCGCCCCACAGTTTAAAAATATTTAGAATGCAAAAAAAAATAATAAGAATTATGATGGGCTGTAGGAGCAGGGCTTCGTGTAGGAATTTGGAAATTTTGCCTCTTGCATCACAATATATTTTTTCACTCATGTTGTTTGTGTTCAATAACATGGATCTCTTTATTTTAAATTCAGAAAAGCATAATACAGGTACAAGACAATAAAATAATTTTTATCTGTCTACAAATAATTTTACAGTTTACCAAAAGGGAGTATACTGTATGGGTATTAGGGTATTTAACAATCTTCCTCCACATATTAAAGATATATCTCATAATCCAAGGAAATTTGAAGCCTGTCTAAAACATTTTCTTTATACACATTATTTTTATTCCATTGATGAATATCTTCAATTTAAGGCTATTGCAAGTCAATGACATACCAAAGATTTTATATATAGTTTTCATAAATTATGTTTATTGTCACTAAGTTTTAAAACTATTAGTAATAGAACTTTTTATATTTCTGTCATCATTTTATTTTATTCTATTTTTGGCTTATTTGTTTTTATATATGTACCACTTGACGTGTTCCATATCCTACCTGTTGTACTGTGGATTTATGGAATGTAAAATAAATGAATGAATGAACGTATGCGTAACGTGTAAGAATTATAAGTATTTCATATTGTACAAATATCATTTTGGTCAACATCTGGATGTCCGTAAACATAATATCAATCAATCAATTTATTTATGAGTATTCCAAAAATCCATATTTGGTGATAACACCCCCCCCCCCAATATAGAACAAGTCAACAGGGACATATTAATATAACATACGTACTGTACATGAGGCAATTATACTATAAAACTTAACTACCTACAGATTTCATACACATCAGTCATACATCATCCCACTGGCAACAACTCAATAACCAAAAGAAACCCTGTATCCCAAATTTATATATTTATTAAGGTATTGGATATAGAACACGTCTCACACACACGCACATGCGCACGCACGCACGCACACACACACACATATATATATATTAGTTCTGGACATAGAACCAGTCATCTTTCAACAGTGTTGATAAAAGGTGCAATAATTATACATAATTCAGTAAATTCACATGCATGTACAGTTATTAACAAGATGGTAATATCTTACCAAGATCCCAGCCTGGAATATATTAACAAATTTTAATTGAAATCTTTTATGTAATATGCCCTATGAGAGGTTAGTTCATCTTGCATTTAAAATACATGACTAATATTTCTGAGAACTAGTCCTCTTGAGAAATAAAACCGGTGAGTTATCAAGTGCATTATATCCTGATTGGCCACATGTTATCTGCTTAACAGAATATCATCTAAATTCTCTTGAGTTCGAAAATTGTAATATTGACCATTATAAGAGGGGTGCTAACTGCTATGTATTGCAGGAAAAACTTTAGAAAGGGTGTGGAGTTGGGATTTTTGTTCACAGTTCCATTAACTATTCCTGTGTTAACTTGGACAAATTATGTGTTGAACGAGATATTGAATTATGTGCAATAAAAATACTATCAACCTATATAATAGCTGTATATAGGGCTCCATCCGGAAATTTTATTCAGTTTTTAAACAAATTAGATATAGCATTAAAATCTCTATTTAACCATAACGCAAAAAATATTGTGTGGTAACATCAATATTAATTACCTAAAGGAATCTTACATGAAAAAAAACAACTTGATGTTATCATGTCATCATATAGTCTTGTTCCTATCGTAGACTTCCCAACTAGAAGTTATAATAGTACGAAGTCGCTGATTGATAATATCTTTATTGATCCATCGCAATATAAGAATCACTCGGTCTATCCTATATTTAATGGTTTATCGGATCATGACGCTCAACTGTTAATTATTAAGAATACCGGTATGCATCTCCATAAACATAAAATTATAACTAGATGGAATATCAATAATCATACCCTGTTAAATTTCAAAATGAATTTAAGTTATGAGACATGGGACGAGACATTTAACAGTGATGATGTTGATACTGGGTATAATTCATTTCTGGACACTTTTTTGAGAGTTTTCTATGCCAGCTTCCCATTAAAAATAGTAACAAATAATAGGCCTAAAAATAATAACTGGATAACTCCAGGCATAAAAGTATCTTGTCAACACAAAAGGGAACTTTATCTACTTTACAAAAACAATAATAACTATAAATTAAAAAAGCATTACAAATTGTATTCCAGAATATTATCTGATATAATAAAAGCAGCTAAAAGGCTTCACTATGATAGATTAATAACAAAGTCAAGTAATAAAATGAAAACTACACGGAATATTGTTAAATCTATAACTGACAAGAAAACTGATAGCAAGGTAACTCAATCTATAGACATTGGTAATGCAACAACACCAAAGAATCAACAAGACATAGCCAATGCCTTTCAGAACTACTTTCTCTTTGTAGCTGATAAAATAAAATCCAACATCAATAGTACAGATAACTATGATAATGAATGCATGGACTACCTATTTGGAGTCTTTAAGAATCCCTTTCCAAACTTAATTTTTGACCGTACATCAACTAAGGAGATTGCTAAAATTATTAAAGCCCTTAAACCTAAAAACTCATCTGGATATGATGAAATTTCTCTCAAAATGTTAAAAGTAAGTTCTC